GGGATACTAGAACAAAGGATAGGATGTTGTGGAGAGCCATGACTGTCCATGTCCTGAAGAAACATAGCACATAAAGGAAGAAGAAAACAACCAAACTACATCTGGCCTTATAGAGTACAGTGCTGAGGTAATATTTGTAAACCCAACTGCCAAGTTTGGCTAAGATCTATCAGACTGTTCTTGAGTTATCTTTGATATCAGATATGAGGGCAATTTGCAGCAACCCTGTCTTTACTGTGCATTGCTGACGGGCAGGTAATTGAGAACCCAAAAGTGAGTGGAGAAAACCAGAAAGATAGAAAAATAAACAAGAAAAAGAAAAAAGGAAGCCTCAAGTGGAAGGCGAAGGAGAAAGAACAGGTTGTAATGTCAGTATGAACACCCCCCACACACACACCCCCACACCATCTACAAAACAAACACACGTCTGCACAAAATTCAGTCATTGCTTCTTCTGACTCACAGATGTTACTACATATCTCCCCCGCATGGGTGAGTAAATGTGCAGAGAAAGGGTGTCAGATAATGAAAAATCATTGCAGCTACCAAGAAGCCTTTCTTGGCAACATGAACAAACCACCATCATCCTAACTGCAGTCTGAGATCTTTATTTAAGAAAGAGGGAAGAGAAATGAGAGTAGAGAGAAAGAGACACAGACAAACAGACGGAGTAGAGATAAAGAGACACACAAACAGAATAGAGATAAAGAGACACACACACACACATTGACAGAGTAGAGAGAGACAGAGACAGAATAGAAAGAGAGACACAGAGTAGAGATAGAGTCAGACACAGTAGAGAGAGACAAACACAAAAACGGTAGAGAGAGACAAACACAAACACGGTAGAGACAGACACACAGAGTAATGAGAGAGAGAGAGAGTGACACACACACATAGTAAAAAGAGAGAGAGATATGGAGACACACAGAGTAGAGAGAGAGATATATGGAGACACACAGAGTAGAGAGAGAGATATATGGAGACACACAGAGTAGAGAGAGAGATATGGAGACACACAGAGTAGAGAGAGACACACACACACAGAGTAGAGAGAGAGAAACACACACACACAGAGTAGAGAGAGAGAGACACACACACACACAGAGTAGAGAGAGAGAGACACACACACACAGAGTAGAGAGAGAGAGACACACACACAGAGTAGAGAGAGAGAGACACACACACAGTAGAGAGAGAGAGACACACACACACACAGAGAGAGAGAGAGACACACACACAGTAGAGAGAGAGACACACAGAGAGAGAGAGAGAGACACACACACAGTAGAGAGAGAGAGAGACACACACACACACACACAGCATAGAGAGAGAGACACACACACAGAGCGTAGAGAGAGACACACACAGAGTAGAGAGAGACAAACACAGAATAGAGAGAGAGAGAGAGACACACAGAATAGAGACAGAGAAACAGAGTAGAAACCCACACACAGTATACAGAGATCAAAAGAGAGACAGAACATAGTGAAAGATACAAAGTATATAGAGCAAGACAGAAAGAGAAAAGAGACAGAAGAGTAAAAGCACAAAGATAGATAGAGCAGAGAGAGAGATGGAGATGAGCACACAGCATGGAGAGAACAAGAGGATCAAAAAAATCTATTCATCCCAAACAAGATGATAATGCCACAAAAATGCAAGGTGCTACTAGAAGTGAAAGAGAAGGAAAAGACTTTAGAAGTAACTGGAAAGCCAATCCTAAACAAGAAACTAGGGATAAACCTCTACTCCTGTTCAAAAGACCGAGGAGGAGTGTGAACCAATTGACAGGTGAACCAGCAACAGTTACAACCTAATCAGTAGCCAGGTTAATTTTAAGTCTCTAGTTTACTACAGCAAATTGCTCTACAGGCCTAATGGGTAAAAATGTTGGTTTGTGATTTTGTTGACAGGGGTTGTGAATTCAATTCCTGGGTCAGGTAATGTCTACTTGCATGCAGTGGAAACAGGTGAGCAATAACTGAACAGTACTAAATAAATTAAGAACTAGATGATATCCCTAAACATGAGCAGTGGAATGAGAACAGTCTATCTCCATAGATTAAATAAAGGGTTCAGTTGGGAATTCCCTGTAGTTTACCTTGACCAATATACACCTGAAGAAGGCTGGATGACACAACAGTCGAAACGTTGTGATATCAACAACAAATATAAAATATAAATAGTGTAAATATCTACTATTAAATTGCTGCAAATTTGACTATCATTAGTAACATCATCATTGGAAATCTAGTTTTAACCTAAATAACAAACTTTTTTTTTGTGGCTACATCTTTTCCCAACTCCCCATTCTTGGTTGCTTCATAGACCAAAAAGAATCTCATAAGCATCATCTCTGCAGATCAATTACAAGATTTCTATGTTTTGAACATTTTTATCAACAATGCTGCACTTAACAGCTCCCAAGTTGCACTTTTTTTTTTGTCCTTATCACATTTCAAAACACTGCTTACTCACTTAACAATACCAACTCATTTTCTGCTTAATGACTCTGTCCAATTTTGTTCTTTCCCTATTTAACAACCTAAGTATGACACAAGGCAACAAGTTTGAAACACTTGTGATATGTTCTAAAAGGAGTAGATAGGTTTGTCTATCATCCAGTTCACACTCCTCTCCAGTCTTCTGAACAGGAGTAAAGGCTTAGCCCTTCTTTCTTATTTAGGGCTGGGTTTCCAGTTCCTTCAATATTCTACTTCAACCCTATACTTCTAAAAGGAGTAGATGGGTCTGCCTATTGTCTGGTTCACACTTCTCCCTGGTCTTTTCAAGAGGAGTAGAGGTTTAGCCTTTGTTTCCTGTTTAGGATTGGGTTTCTGGGTCCTTCTAAAGCCTTTTTTTATGCAACCCTCTACCTTGAGTAGCTTTTGGGCCTTGTACAAAGTAAATATCATTGTAAAAAAAAATCTTTCTGACCATTGTCAAGTTTCTCTGTAATTCCTATAATCCTTAAAATTTATCACATACAGTCCATGGCGTTCTCATCATTCATTGGTTGAACTACATTTCAGTTACCAAAAGCATGCAACCAGATTATTAAAATAAGGATATTTACTGATTTTAAATTTAGTTCTGGACACACAGAACAGATCAGTTATAACAAATTTAGTATTGCAGATAAGGAAATTGAACACAGAATAGGCTGCACTGGAGGTAGTTTCACCCAATACCACAAGTTGCTACAAAACCAAAAAATTAACCTAAAAACTTGAATCATGTTAAATATCCTTGTCGAACCAAGACTTCTGCATGGATGCCATGCATGACACCAAACTTATTCAGAAATGTCTAAACTGACAGCCATGTAGAATCACTTTCTCAGATCAATGGTTAAAAATATCTTTGAGCAAATGAAACCTGTTGGTCTCGGTAGTAGTCATCATTCTTCAAAGCACAAAGTCCCAGATAATAAATCTACTGTATATGATGGCATATAAGGTGCACTTTTTTTCTTTTTACTAAAAATATCTTTTAAAATTCGCCTGCATCTTATATGTCATATGTAGGTTTACTAATTTTACTAATTACTAATTTTTTCTTGATTTGCCCTGCTGAAATTGAGGTGTGTATTATACACCCATGCATCTTATATGCTGTCAAATGACTTTTAACAGCAGCAACAACTGAAATGGAGAGCAAAAGTAATTTGACAAGAAAATAATGATATAATCAAGACGTTGACGTTCTACATGACTTCAAACGAAAGGTTAGGAAGGAAATGGAAAGGGTGATAATATTTGTGAAAACTGTATTCCTGAATTTTAATAAAAAGGGTTTTTTATGTTATTGGCAGCTCAGTCTATAAATTCCAAATGTTTCCACATAAGGAAACAGCTAATATGACCATTATCATTCTAGTCCCACCCGCATAGCATGGATGGCAAGAAAATGATGACAATCAAGATATTGACATCACACACTACTTCAAACATAAAAGGTTAGGAATGAAGTCAATAGTGGAAAAGTTTTAATATTTACTGGATTTGAGAAACCTATATTCCTGAAAAATTGTCTTAATAGAAATTGAGGTGTTCCAGGTGATCCAATGATAGTCAAGGGATCAAATAGAAGTCAGTGTATGAACAACTTGCACAGCAATACCAGGTCCACCCAATTCTTCTTGGTTTTTTTCTTCTTGAAATGGTTTAATATATTAACTATTGTATTATTTTTTTTTTTGTATCCAAGGCATTTTTATGCTGTATATTGACTGCCTGGTAGTGTAATTAACCACTACTCTAATTATATCTTTTAAAGAAATATCAAACCCTTAAAAAACAGTTCTGTTTTGACATTACCATAATTTTTGTATGAAGTGCATCTTTGAGCCTTTTACAGGGTACTAATTTCAGAGCTTCTTTGCATTTGAGACAATTCACTCCTAGTGTTAACCATCTTCTTTACATACAATAGCTTATTAATTAGATATTAACAGCGGTTATAGATTTCTGTTCAATAGAATCATCTGTATTTAGGTTTGGGCGTACTTAATATTATCTTCATTCATTGAGGTTATTTAATATATTTTCTTAAATATATTTTGGAGTGGGGGAATTCTCAAATACTTACAGGATGCAAAAGGGAAACAATGAATAACCTATCTAGAGAGCTGGTGTAAATGAACAGCAGAATAGGGACTGGGAGAGATTGTAAAGGGACAAATATAATGTAAGAGTGAACACATTCCCACCAGGCAGTGGTAACAATAAAAACAATTAAAAGCTCTTATGCTGATTATAAAACTCAATGAGTGCTAATCATAAAAAATAAATTGTAAATTTTGAGAAACTCAGCTCAATTTTCTGTCCATAGAGACATTCTCTTAAAGCTAAATTTGAAATCCTTGTACTAACAACTGAGTCAGGTCAGAATTATTCTAACAATTTTTTTTTGGGGGGGGGGAGCTAACATAGTTATTTTCATTACAAAGAGATTTACAACAGGAAAAAAAAGGTTTAGTAGTTGAATTGCAAAGGTCAGGTGGGAATGTTAAGAGGAAGAGGAGGAGGTTGTGCTAACCTTTTCAGCCATTTTGAAAGTGACATGCAAAAAAGAAGAGAAACTGAACATTCAGTTGCACAATTCTCAAGCCAACCATTGCTAATAAGAGTATTATATGAAAGAAAGGAGAAAAAGAAAGAAAAAAGAAAAGAAAGAAAGAGGAAGGAGAGAATGAAAATGAAAGGAAGAAAAAGAAGAAAAGAAAGAAGAAATGATAGAAAGGAAGAAAAGAAAAGAAAAATAGGAAAAGGAAAGAAGAAAAAGTGAAAGATGGAAAGAAAAAAGAAAAAAGGAAAGAAGAAAAATGAAAGAAGAAAAAGATGGAAAGAAGAAAAGAAAGATGAAAGAAGATAAAGACGAAAGAAGAAAAGAAAGATGGAAAGAAAAGAAAGAAGAAAAGATGAAAAGAAAGATGGAAGAAAGAAAGATGGAAGAAAGAAAGAAGAAAGAAAGATGGAAGGAAGATGGAAGAAAGAAAGAAGAAAGGAAGATGGAAGAAAGAAAGAAGAAAGGAAGATGGAAGAAAGAAAGAAGAAAGGAAGATGGAAGAAAGAAAGAAGAAAGGAAGATGGAAGAAAGAAAGAAGACGGAAAGGAAGAATAAAGAAGACGGAAAGAAAAAAGGAAAAAGAAAAAAACAAACAAGCTGAGAAACTATTGGCAAAGATCAAAATCGAAAAAAATACATTTAATTTGAGGATTAATTCTGAACTCCTGTTTTCTTTCATCTCATTCTTTTGCCTTTTATAACAACGGTCAACTGTGTCCAAGATAGTGGGGTGAGGGTCATGGCCAGCTATTTCAATTCCCCACCCACAACCAACCTACGATTATTCCAAACCATGCCATTTAATTTATTTCCCACTTTTTGTTTTTTCCAACCTGCTCATTTCTCCCAACCACTTCCCTCTTCATTTTTCTTCTGAAAACAAATGAATAGTGAATGAATTTTCCAACCTGCCCTTTTATATTCCTACCTCCCTGTCTATTCCACACACAAAAATACATGACAGAAATTGGAAATAAAGACCAAACCTTTTAGTGAGATCTGCTATTCCTTATACTTTGGGACAACAAGGTACCAATGAGACTATGAAAACACAAGCAACAGTTAGCACTCAAACATATAGTATAAAATATATTCTTTTCTTTCTTATCCCACACAATATCATTTATTTACCCTAATAGTTTTAGACATATTGGGTTAAAACAAAAGTTTGCAGAATTTTTCTATATGTAGAATTTCAACACGTGATTTCATCTTATAACATAAATTTTCTGATACATGTACATTCACAAAGGTGACATTTAAGTGCATCTTTCTATGTGATTCAGGTGTGGATTGTGAATTTTAAATGCTTTTACATTACAAGCAAAAATGGAGGAAAAACAAGTCTCATTATTTGGTAGTCTTTTATTTCCACTACATAAGCTAGAGGCTTTCCATTTACCGAATCCTGTCTTCTTGTGTGGATCGCAACAACCTGCATTGGACACTGAATCCACTCCAAATTTTTTGTTTGTGAACTCATGATAATATAACGAAAGAGTTTTTACAAATCTGCCAAGTAGTTAAAAATCGGTGGTTCTTAAAATGTAGGTTATACTTCCTATCTTCACTTTGCCAGAAAATTCTACAGATATTTGGGAGAAGAAAAAAATAAGTAACCAGTAAGAGAAAGTGTACCCACACACAATCTCTGAAAGAATTATTAAGAATTTTCTGCCATTGCTCCCAACAACCACATCCTTCTGCACAAGTCAAAGATAGATTTACCACATTTGCTTCTTTGAGGAAAAAAAATGTTTTTATTCCAAATCAAAATGCCTTGAGAGAATTTAACAAGAAATTTAATCTGTCTATGATTTCCTAACAGGAAATTCACATCTCATTTATTCAGATTTGACATTTGGAATAAACCAAGTATAATACAAGGACATTTTGTTTTGAGAACTTCTTGGGTATCAAAATCCAGATCAGTGGCTTACAACAGTGTAGAGTACACCAGGCTTGCAAGCTTTGGGTAGCTTTTCTATAAATAATTTTATGGTAATTGCTCTGATGAACTTTCCTCTATGGTACCTAGACTTTATGAATTTAAGCACAGTAATAAATTGGCAGTAAGGTCTCATCATTTTACAATTGAAATGTCCAGATGCAACTGTAAGTTCTATGCTAACGGTTTCTTCTATTGCACTTCTTGCTTGTGGAACTCTCTTCTGGCTTCTTGCTTCCCAGTCAACTTTGATCTTCAAAAATTTATATGCAATATCAATCATTATCTTCTATCTATTTTTGTTCTTTTATTCTATCTCCTTAATAATGTTTTCTTTTTCTCATATTCTGTCACACTCAGTAACCCCCTTGCATCCTTGTGGCTTTACTGCCTTACTTGGGGGGAAAGGATTAAAAAATTTGTAATCTTAATATATTCAACAACACAGTGAGTTCTTTTTTCAAATATCTTAAGTTTAATGTAAGACATTATTTTCATCGAAAAATCAACGTGACATGATGAGAAAATGAATAATTTTATTTTGCTGTCACTAATGAATGTGTTGGCAGTATAACATATATTGATATGGAAAACCCAGTTCAAATTCTAGAATTCATTTTGGCACAAATCCCTCTGGAAAATTGATGGATTTGTTTTCTACAGTTTATCAACCTTTTGCAGGTTATTTAAAGCCATAATTTTTTTTAAATTGTAAGAATTTGTTTGGAAGATAATGATTTAGTGATACATGTCTTACAAATTAACCCATAGCTGGGGGAAGAAAGTGTGGATTCATACTTTCTCAAGGGTATTTGCACATAAGTGAATATAACAAACCCAACTAGAATTTGAAATTGTCTCTCCAATTAACAATTCCAAGCCATTATCCATTTCAGCATTCAAATATCTGAGCTTACAGCACCTGGTATTCTAAAATGGGCACCCATCTAGGTACTGACCAAGCTCAATGATGCTTAACTTTGATGATTGTATGGTACTTCAACACTTTATGGCTATAAGCCTCCTTTGGAAATGAATGAATCCCCCCTACATAGATTAAATAACAGGGTAGACTGAGCTGACAACCTTTGAGTGGCAATGAGCCAGTCCAAGGGAATCACTAGACTGAATTAAAAAGCACACAGTAGGCAATGGGAAATCACTCCATTATTTTTTCCAAGAAGCCATTGCAATTTACAAAGAATAAAGGAATCTGTGAAGAAGTTAACAGGAAACAATGCCACTATTTTTCCCTATTTTTTATGTATCACCAAATCAAGTAAATGCTTTTTCTTTTTCTTTATGTGCCATGTCCCTTCAGGATGTAGGCGATGACGGCTCTCCTCAACTTCCTGTCCCTTGTACCACTTAATAAACTTTGTCTTTCTGTTATTTCTCTTAATCTCTGTTCTGCCATCTATCTATTCAAGCTCATTAATTATGGTCTGTCTGTATTTCTGAGATGAGGTATTATGTACATTATTTACATTATTCGGACTATTGTCCTCATCTTTGTCACCATATTTGTCACAACATTTCGGCCGTTGTACGCTCCGGCCTTCTTCAGGTGGTTGGAATTTCGAAATTTCAAAATTCCAACCACCTGAAGAAGGCCAGAGCATACAACGGCCGAAACGTGATAAATATAGCGACAAAGATGAGGACAATAGTCCGAATAATGTAAATAATGCTCATTAATTATGTTATGTGTTGTCATCCTCTGTCCCTCTTGCCTTCTATCTGTCCTGTGATTATCAGATTCTCCAAGCCTTCCTTCCTCAGTTTATGCCCTAGACATTTCAACTGTCTCTTCCTGAAGTATCAGATTCCTTTTTGTTTCCACTTTCTCCAAAATTTTGTCATGTTTGGTATCCTCAGCATCCTTCTGTAGAACCCCATTTCTGTTCTTATAGCAAATGAGATAGAGAAGAGATAAATATTTAGAGATTCAAATATAAGCAACCAATATATACCTATTTACAAGTAAAAGCCTACAGACTCAAAAAAAAATATCCAATGATTAGTTCTCCCCTAAAATTCATATAGCCATTAGTTGTTCCTTCAAGGGGGAAAAAAAAAAAAAAAAGAAGAAGAAGAAAAAAGGAGCTTCATCCTCCTCCTCCTTTTGGATGGACAGCAATCAAACTTTTCAGGATCTTATTTCTTCTACTCACATCATCATTATCCCATTTACACTTTTACATAAGATTTTGTCATATCACCAACAATGATGAAAAGCACATGCAACTTGAGAAGAAAATAATGACAATCAATATGTTGCCATTCCACACTACTTCAAATAAAAGGTTAGGAAGGAAACCGCCATCAATACTGAAAAGAATGATAACAGCTACTGGACTTGAGAAACCCGTTTTCCTAAAAATATTATTTTAAGAGAAAGATTTTATAAATTTCAACTGAAAGCAGTACTGACTGCTTGCTCAATGAATGGCAAATGTTTCCTTATAATACCACATAACAGAAACCACCATTATCAATTCTTATCCTGCCAGGTTTGGCAACTTTAGAAAGCTCCATGTTACAAAATTTTAAATTTTGTTACTTGCAACTTTAGTGGCTATTTTTTTTTTTTTTTTTAATCTAACTTGGACCACTCGTAAGATGACAATCAAAAATTTTATTTGGTTTTTCACATGTAGTTCACTATTCTACAGGGTGCCCAGTAAAAAAAAAAAAAAAAAAACAGCAAATTTATTATCCCTGTTTTACCTTTCAGGAATAATTGACCTTGAATAACCTTGAATAAATTTCTTGAATAATCATTCAACTCCCACGTAATTACTTAACTCTGGTTCTTTTATGACTGATTAATTGCTGCTCAATCTTGCGAGATGTCATTTAATGGTTATTTGCAGATAACTTTCGTCTTTTGTGCTACCTTTTTCATATGGCTAAACAACTCACTGATTTTGGGTGCCAAGTTATCATAATTTTTCAAATAACAACATCCAACATTGGGATTGACAAAATGTGCAGAAATTCTTCCTGAATTTTTCAGCCACATCAGTCATCACCAGTTTTCATTGGTTTTCTCATGTCTTTCTGAATTTACCTCTTTTTTACTGGGCACCCTGTACTTGTAGAACCATCCAGAGGCTGACATCATGTTGGCTATCATCTTCATGATGATAGAAATTGTCATCAGATTCAGAGTTGAGAGATTCTGAGGGTTACGTGCAACTCCATCTTGTAACCTTGTATCCAATAATTACACATGATCAAGGAAAGACCTCATGATTTTATAAACTTTAATTATATTTACATATATTGACATAACCTGAAGCCATCAAAAGAAATTCAGAATGTGGAATTAATACTAAATACATCAGTTTATGGATTCTCACAGGCAGGATATGGATAGCCTCTAGCTGCTCTATCGCTACCTTCACAGAAAGTACTCAAACAAACTACATTCCTTGATTCCACCAGGCTTAACTTTCATGATAAGGAACCATCATGCCTCTTACATTGTAGCAAACCACCCATATTCCCTCTATATTCCATCGGTGAGAAATAAGTTCCACTCGAACAGCTTCTTCCCACAAACCACTGCTCTGTGGAAACAACTCCCAAGAGGATGTTTATCTGATCACTACGATCTTAACCTGTTCAAGTCTATGGTCAACTGTTACCATCTCCTCCTATCCATACAAACTGCCTCTTAATGCAACATTTTATCTCAAGTGGTACCCCCGGACCTTGTACAGCATTACTATAAAAAAAAAAAAAAAAAAGTTATAACAAATTTAATATAAGAGATAAAGAAATTAAAGCCAGGATAGGTTGCATTAGGTCAGGATTTCCCAACCTGGGCAATTTCAACTGTTGGGTGGGTGAGTTGAAATTATGGTAGGTAATATGCTACTTGAAAAAAATATTCAAAAGGGCTATGTAAGGGACCTGTACAAAAAAAATAAATAAATAAAATGAACAGGAGGCTCAATGGGAATAACTGGGTCCTATTCCTAGTTATTTATTTTATACAGTTTTCAATGGTCAAGTTTGCTTTTGTTTGTTCTTTAATACAGTAGTCGCAGCAGCAGCAGCTGCATACATCAGCATTATTTGTTACCTCCCTTTGGTATTTTTTTACTACATCATAAAGTCATTTTACGAACCAGTAACAAACTTTTAACAAACAATTTTGGTTTGCTTTTAAATTTTCTTTTTAAATTTAAATTTGCTTTTTAAAATTTTCTACCAGGTAGGCAGTGGAAAATTTTACAATATGAAAGTGGGTGATGACACAGAAAAGATGTGGAACCCCTGAGCTAGCTGGAGACACTATTGCCACTAATGTCTTAACCATTGTGTGGGAAGTATTTCTGCTACATCTTGTATTTCCAGTTTTGTGGGTGATGAGCAGCTGAAGAGAAAATGGCAGGTGGTTGAAAATTATGGTGGGTTGATATAGGATTTTGAGTATTAAAAAGGTATTTCAACAGATGCTACCTGAACTAATTATTCCAAGG